CTTCCTGTGCATAAATTCTGTTCATTTATTGATATTAATAGATGATCTTTGTGTAATGCAGGCATTATTCATTTGCTAACATATGTGAAATATATCTTTGTCTGTTATGTATTTTTTTTTTCAGGTTCTGGGGATTGAACCCAGGAGTGCTTTACCACTGAGCTACATCCTCAGCCCTTTTTTATTTTGAGGCAATCTCACTAAATTGTGGAGACTGGCTTTGAATTTGTGATCCTCTTGCCTTAGTCTGATGATAGGTGGGATCACAGTTGTGCACCATTACACCTGGTCCATTTTTTATTTTTGTAAATTTAGATTTTCATAGTTTTTTTCATTATAAATTTGGGGTTAGATGTCTTGCTTAGTAAGTTTCTCCCACTCCCACTCCCAAGATTATAAAAGTATTTTTATATTTCTTAGAATATGTCTATAGTGTTGAACACTAATAAATTTGATAATTATTCTTCAATATGGTGTTAAGAATATATGGTTCCAATTGCCCCCAAACTTTTCATTAAATTTATTATTTCCTAATTTGAAGTAAAATTTTACCTCAATCATAGTAATTTCAATGGGCAAATCAATGTTTTTGGGGGGAAGATAAACTCTGCTCCATTGACCAACTTGCCTACTCTGGGCCAGTATAGGGCCAGTTAAGTCACTACTACTTAGAAAGTGCATTTGGGTATCTGGGCAAGCAGGACCCCTTTCCAAATTCTTATTTTCAAAGAGAACATCTTGGCTAATCTTTGTAAATGTAAAGAAAAATCTTCTGGTTCAATGATACCTCCTAAGAAAAGTAACACAGAAAGACAAAGGTTTAAAATGGGAAAAGCCAGAGCAATCTCATGTTCTCTCATTCTGTCACTATTAAAATTGCAGGGATACTTGTCCACTACAAATTCTTTTGTGCACCCCTCGTGACAGACTTTGAGATATATTTCTCTTCTCCATTTAAAGGAACCAGGACTCCTTGATGGGCACAGGTCCTTTGAAACATGTCAGAGAAAAAAAATGATGATGGTTCAAAACATCCTATGTAACAAAGCAAGGATGTTGCTAGAAATGTTAAAAGCAATGTTTTATAAATAAACAGAAAACAAAGATGTTATAAGCTTCAAGCACTTTCTCTGGACAAATTGAAATATTCTGAAAATCTACAAAAGGAAAGGGAAATTAAAGTAAGAAGTTGAGCCTACAAAGAGTCACAGATTTGTACTGATACAGGAGGAAAGAAGGTCATAATAAAAAACAAGGATGATTAAAGAGAATTTAAGGGAATATTCACAGGTGTGTGTATTTTGTTCATTCTATGAAAAATATATCTTTTCTTTAAAAGTGGAAGAATGTGCTTGTTTCTAGTTATGAATACAGGAAAGTTTACAGTCAAAATAAAGAGAATGGAAATATATAGTACAAGAAGATGACTTATTACCAAAAGTGGAGACACATAATTACTAAGTAGAAAATGAATGCAGTAGATCATATACAATGATGAAGAAAATCCAACAGCATGTCCAAGGTAATGAACAGCCAAATATCTTGAAGAAAATAATTCTCCACATAGATTCTTCATACACAAAATCTCAAGGTGATCCTACTAATTATATGGAACATCAATAAGGCCATACATAAGTTTGGCCTATATATCATAAAAGCTGATGATGAGTTGGTAATACTGGTCATGTTAAGTGAAAACACACTATTTCTGGAAAGAACACCAAATTTTGAAAATTTAAAGTAAAATAAATGTGGAGGTAGTAAAATTCCCATGACAAAGCAAGTAAGAGCTAATTATATAAAAGACTAGGTTCAAGGCCTTGACTTATGGTTCAATGAACTTGGACTGTCCAGCCAGGATCCAGGTCTAAGTAAGAATCAGTCAATAACCCAGATCTTGCTCCTTCATGTGGTCTAAGCAGGCATCCCTTTACTTTTAGGCTTGATAAGATTTGTACAAGCCCAGGAAGTTGTGTTTAACTGTGTTCCTAGGAAGACATGAAAGTAAATATGGCCATAGTAGTATAAAAGTTATTTTTTAATATGCAAAAATAATTGACATAGACTTGGCTTTAGAAACAGATTTACATAAGTTAAGTTTAAAATGTGCTAATTGTATTTAAGAATGGGTTGTATACTGTTTAAGGAGTTTGAAAGGTCCCAATCAGCCATACTAAACCTGTAGTTGTAGTTGGGGTTGTTTGAGACAATTCAGTTAATTAAATTTATAACACATGTTTAAAAGCTCAAGAAAAATTTTTGTTTCCATTCTTTTTCCTTAATTCAGTTGAAAAACCACTAGGCAAGGTCAGAGTGAGCAAGGTGGCTGAGGAAAGTCACACACAGGGGACTGAGGAAAAATCATTAGATATGAGGAGGAGGCTGGCAACCAGGTTTTCATTGCTGGAGAAAGGAGCTATAAATATGGAAAGAAGGAGAGGCAGAAGAACTGAGTTGGCATTAAGTGTATTGCTCATGATTCAATAAATACAGATAAAAATAAATATCAATGCATATATACATTGGGAGCCTGGGTGCACAAACCCCAGGAGCAATGAACATATCTTCAATAAAAAACTAAGAGCCCTTTTTACTACTTTCACTGGGAATTACTGTCATTCCAGAAAATCAAGGAGCAAATAGAGAGACCCTCAAAACACCTCCAGTTGATAATCAGACTAATTTGCTCAGGTGGAAAAAAAAATAGAAATTATGATTTAAAAGTCTACCTCATAAAGCTTTTATTTACTCTGAGACCCTTGAAATAAAATAAGTTCATTTCTTAAAATAAATGTATGAATAATGTTTTAATGCTTCTTTTAGAAATACTACAGCATGTAGTATGTTAAAACTCACTTAACACTTTAATTGCCCCGCCTTTTTTCAAACATGTACTATTGTAAAACACACATACATTAGTCCAGCAAAACGGCTTCAAAACTGTCACCATGGAAAACCTTGCAGCTACTGTTCAAATCATTTCTGGAATCTATCTTCTGCATGGGTTTTAGGGCTCATGATATACCTTAGAGATAGCAGATCTACTCTGCTAAGTAGGATTTGAAAAAA